CGTTATCCATAGTCGAAGTAAACACATCGACGTGCGTCATCATTTTGTTCGCCAAGCGCTCAGAGAATGTTTGATCACTATTGAACATGTGTCAACCGAGGACATGGGAGCCGACTTGCTCACCAAAGCACTACCAGGACCAAAACACAAGAGGTGCATGGAATTGTTGGGATTAGGAAGTGTGTGCTCAAATTAATTCCTCCGCATCTCGAGGGGAAGTGTTAAAGTTATAATTTAATAGTGATTGCATTTGAACGATCCGCGGTTGAATATTTTAATAGAGCCCTCTGGTGCTCATTTTTGAGTTTAACTTTTCGTGGACGAGCGACGCCGTCTCACTTTTGCTATCGACGCTGTCGAGTAATATTGTATCCATTGTAAAATACGCATTTTGATTCTTTTAATATACGTCTTATTATTTCATAACAATCGTGTCGTTTTTGTGTTTCCCTACGTCCTGCTCAACAGTATAAAATTTATAAAGTGAAAAAATAATTAAAGTGTATAAAAACGGTAAATGTAAAAATAAATAAATTGATAAAATATTCAGAATATATAATAATAATAATTAAATTGTATAAAATATATAAAATGAAAAAATAATTAAAGTTTATAAAAACGGTAAATGTAAAAATAAATAAATTGAAAAAATATTCAGAATATATAATAATAATAATTAAATTGTATAAAATATATAAAGTGAAAAAATAATTAAATTAAGGTGTATAAAAACGGTAAGTGTAAAAATAAATAAATTGAAAAAATATGTAAAAATAATCAGAGTATAAAATAATAATTAAATTGTATAAAATTTATAAAGTGAAAAAAAAATTAAGGTGTATAAAAACGGTAAATGTAAAAATAAATAAATTGATAAAATATGTAAAAATAATCAGTATAAAATAATAATTGAATTGTATAAAATATATAAAGTAAAAAAATAATTAAATTAAGGTGTATAAAAACGGTAAATGTAAAAATAAATAAATTAAAAAAATATTCAGAATATATAATAATAATAATTAAATTATATAAAATATATAAAATGAAAAAATAATTAAAGTTTATAAAAACGGTAAATGTAAAAATAAATAAATTGATAAAATATGTAAAAATAATCAGAGTATAAAATAATAATTAAATTGTATGAAATATATAAAGTGAAAAAAATAATTAAATTAAGGTGTATAAAAACGGTAAGTGTAAAAAAAAATAAATTGAAAAAATATGTAAAAATAATCAGAGTATAAAATAATAATTAAATTGTATAAAATTTATAAAGTGAAAAAATAATTAAAGTGTATAAAAACGGTAAATGTAAAAAAAAATAAATTGAAAAAATATGTAAAAATAATCAGAGTATAAAATAATAATTAAATTGTATAAAATTTATAAAGTGAAAAAATAATTAAAGTGTATAAAAACGGTAAATGTAAAAATAAATAAATTGATAAAATATGTAAAAATAATCAGTATAAAATAATAATTGAATTGTATAAAATATATAAAGTAAAAAAATAACTAAATTAAGGTGTATATAAACGGTAAATGTAAAAATAAATAAATTAAAAAAATATTCAGAATATATAGGGTCAACCGGGGTAAATCCGAACGCTTTAAGTAAGTTTCAACAATAACATAAGTTTTTTCTTTAAAAAAAAAAATACTTCCGGTATTCTGGTGCATGAAGTTGTTACTTTACTTCCATAGAACAATTTTATGGGGTAGAAAAATTTTTTGATAAATTACAATCGCAGGAAACTTAGCGTTCGTATTTACCTCGATACTTTGCAACTTTCCTAAAATATGGGGGTAAATACGAACGCCACTGTATTTCAGAAAAATCTTAGGGAAAATAAATTTAAAGTATTGCAATTGTTAAACTTATATAAAAACTCAAAAAAAATACGATAATAAACCTATTATGTAATAATGCATCATATATAAATACAAAAATCAAACAGGTTAAAAATTAAAATGCATTACACAATTAAAACCTTCAATAACTTTATCAAATCATAACGGATTTTTGCAAAACTTGGTACAGAAAGTATTTTGGAGTGATTGAATGTAAATACAAAAATAAAAGTCAAATTTTTTAAATTCAAAATGGCGTACTTTCCTAAAACTTATTTTTAAAAATGATCAAATTTGCTAACCCTGAAACCCCCCGAGTAACAATTTTCGAGCGAATCCAATGAATTTTTTAATTCTCGTCCGCCATTTTGAATTTTGAAAAACTGACTTCAAATTGGTAATTAGCGACCCCAAAAACCGTAGAATACCAAATTTTATTAAGATCCTGAAAACCTTTTTTTAACAAACCATTTGGCAAAAAAATTGAAACACTCCTTCGAGAGAACAGAGATTAAGTTTCTGCTTATTAATTACTAACGAGGATACGTATAGAAAGAAAAACTTTTTTCTATGTACTTTTATAATGTTAAAATAATAGTGTAATCAAATAAAAACAATTTTGTGTGGCTTTGATGTAAAAAAAAATTATTAAAATAAATAAATTAAAAAAATATTCAGAATATATAATAATAATAATTAAATTGTATAAAATATATAAAATGAAAAAATAATTAAAGTTTATAAAAACGGTAAATGTAAAAATAAATAAATTGATAAAATATGTAAAAATAATCAGAGTATAAAATAATAATTGAATTGTATAAAATATATAAAGTAAAAAAATAATTAAATTAAGGTGTATAAAAACGGTAAGTGTAAAAAAAATAAATTGAAAAATATGTAAAAATAATCAGAGTATAAAATAATAATAATTAAATTGTATAAAATTTATAAAGTAAAAAAATAATTAAAGTGTATAAAAACGGTAAATGTAAAAATAAATAAATTGAAAAAATATTCAGAATATAAAATAATAATTAAATTGTATAAAATATATAAAGTGAAAAAATAATTAAAGTGTATAAAAACGGTAAATGTAAAAATAAATTAATTGAAAAAATATATAAAATGAAAAAATAATTAAAGTGTATAAAAACGATAAATGTAAAAATAAATAAATTGAAAAAATATTCATAATATATAATAATAATAATTAAATTGTATTTATTTATTTATTTATTTACATGTAAACGGGCTTACAAAGAAAGAAAAATTAGCCCTTTCGTACCGAAGTACTAAGAATAATGAAACATAAAATATAATGTTTCTTAAAAACCGAATAACAAAAATAACTATAACTAGGTAGCGTTGTTATTACTATCAAAAAGAAAAAGTTTGCGCAAAGACATTGTGAAATTACTTAGCGAAGAGTTAAAAAAATCCAAATTGTTACAATATAAGTTTGCCTCTTCGGACAATCTATCATAAATAGAATTTTTGGCAAAGTTTGATCTATGAAAATTTGTTTTAAACAAAGGGCGATCTCTAAGGTGTTTAAATGGAGCATAAAAATTAATTTTTGACAGAATCTCAGGACAATCGATATAATTATTAAGAATTTTGTATAAAAATAGTAAATCAGTATATATAAAATATGATGAAATTTCAGGGATATTGAATAAGCGTCTGAGATCCGAGTAATCATGATTAAATCTATCGTGAATTACATATCTTTGCCAAGTAGTAAAGCGTAAAAATTTATTTTGAATTTGTTCGAGTCTTAATAATCTATCTTGTTGATAAGGAAACCAAATAACATGATTGCAAACTAAGATCGATCTAGCAAACGAATAATATAATGACTTTAAGGTGGATAAATCCGAAAAACGATTTGCATTTCGCATAATAAAACCAAGAGCTCCATTGGCCTTACTCGCAACATCAGTTACATGGTTATCAAAACTAAGGTCAGAATCAAGTGTTATTCCAAGGTCAGAAACACTAAATACTCTCGGTAGTTCGTCATTGCAAATTTTATACTTAAATAAAGAAATATCACTCTTCCTAGAGAAGGAAATAATGTGGCACTTCTTTATATTTAAAAATAACTTGTTATTAGCGCACCATTCATGCAAACGAAAAAGATCCTTTTGGATTTTTAGGTGATCATCATTATCATTATTGTTATTAACTTCATTTTTATTAATTCTTTTATAAATTTTAAGATCGTCAGCAAATAAGGAAAAGTTGCAATGCCGAAAAACCAGAGAGATATTATTTATATATAACAGAAAAAGGAGAGGGCCAAGATGTGAACCTTGTGGTACACCCGAAGTAGCCAAAAAAGTATTGGAGTAAACATTGTTTACTCTAACTGACAACCACCTGTCAGACAAATAACTTTTAAACCATATAACTAAGTGTTCAGAAAAACCCAGAGCCCTTAGCTTAGACAAAAGAATATCATGGTTAATTTTATCAAAAGCCTTTGAGAAATCAGTATATATAGTATCCACCTGAAAGCCATTTTCCAAATTATTACGTACATATTCAGTAAAAACGCATAAGTTTGTCAAGACAGATCTGCGCTTCATGAAGCCATGCTGCTGAGGTATAATTAACTTAGAGGCATAAGCATAGATAACATCATACACAACCCACGTGGAAAGGTTCCGCGGAAACTCCGCGGAATCATTCCGCGGAGTTTCCGCAAAGTAATTCCGCGGAGTGGCTCCGCTGAATTTCCGCAAATTTTTTTCTTCATTATTTTTATATGAAAAACATAAAATTATTTTCCAAACGATGTTGAAGAATTTAAACATGACAAAAATAAAACATCAGGTCGACAATTATCTACCTGCTGTCCAGGTAAATCTAGGTCAACTTTTTCCGGGATGTACACTTCAAATATGAAAAATGATAAACCAGGTCACAATTTGTCTATCAGATATCCAGGTGAATGTTTTGAGCAAAGTTCCCCTCAAATAGTAAAAATAATAAACTAGGAGGTTACAATTGGTCTATCCAGATAAATTTCTGCAGGTAATTTCAACTCAAATAGTAAAAATAAAACTCAAACAAGTATTTAGGTTAATTTGAATCAACAACTCTATATAGCCTACAATAAGTTTTATTAATTTTTTAATTTTTGAACAAATTGTACCATCAAATGAACATTAATATTAATTAAATAATTAAACTGAATAACTTTTTTTACTTTTTCGGTTGCGTTTTATGGGCATGTTTTACTTTTATTTCTTTTAATTTAGAGCGAAGACTATCAATTACTGCCCGATCATTGTTCGGCCTCCATCCATTCTTCCTTGCTACATTGATACAATATTCTGTTAAAAAAAATTTTCCAATATTAATTCTATTGTTTTACACAACTTATTTAATAATAGTAAGTTTTAAGATTAAGAGTAGTCAAGATGGCGAGCAAATATTGTCGAGAAAATTCCCTAACATTACCTCGACCATTTTTTTATTTTAAGTTTAAAATTATCAGAAACCATCCGAGAAAAGGAAATAAAAAATAAGCAAAAGTTGATAGCACTTTTGGAATAAAAGTAATTAAGATCCACGCAGTAAATAAACATTCTCTAACTTTAAACATAATTTTACATCTCTATGTCTCCGAACGACACTATTTCAACTCTAGCTAGCTCCTGAATTTTATAGTAACTCTGGCGCGCTTCTATATTTTGTATTATTTCTGTAGAAAATCATATCTAGTCCTACCGAAAAAAGAGAATGAAGGAATGGGGAAAAAATTATAATTTTTTTTAATAATTAAAATTAATTAAATTATTTTTTTAAAAGAATCGACAAAATAATATGAATGGTAGAAATTTTTAAAAAAGTGACAGAAAAATTGAGAGAAAAGTGTCATAAAATTTTAAAGAAAAAATTTAATTTGAGAGAAGGCAACGAATCGCAAAGAGTCGAATCGTCGACTGCGCTGTTGCCACAAAATACAAAAGCGCTTCAGAGTTACTACAAAATACAGGACCTTGCTAGAGTAGAGATAGTGTCGTTCGGAGCCATCGTTTTTTTCCCTGATTTTTTTCTGACTATAAAAATTGTCTGACTGTTCTCAATTTTCCTGGTCTCTCGCCTCCCTGCAATAAGATTGAAATTTTAATTACTTAAAATCACGTCAATGACAGAACTTGGAAGTCCTTCCTTGTTCTTTTTTGTTTCCAAATTATATTGAAGAAGTGCTTCTGCAGTAAAAATGTTGGACATTAGCATTCGCGCTAATGCATTATGCGATGTTGCTTTGCGTTTGCAGTCTTTCAAAACGGTTTTATCGATATATACATCGCTCTCTGAGATCAATTCAACAGCCTAAAAATAAAAATTAGTTTACATTAAATTTTATTCGTTATATTTTTTAATCTACTTATTATATTTATTTTTATTCATTGCCCAAGTAGCACGTAATATTACACAAATATTACCAAGTAATATTACTGCAATATTAAAATGTTCCCACGGTTGTAATATTAAAATCGATGTTATCATAAGACTACAGGAACATTACAGAAATATTACGCGGTAATGTTACTATAATATTACAGTAATATTTTGGGAACATTGCTGTAATATAATACGATTGTCAAAGAAATTTAATAAAGTGTCAATGTAATCAGGAAAAAAGGAAAACTTTTCTTCTTTAATCATTAGATATGGATTTTGCTGCAATTTTTATTCACTATAGATTACCGCGTAATATTCCAGTAACAGTGCAGTAACATTACCGTGTAATCTCACTGAATTTTACCGTTATATTACCATCGGGGGGATATTTAAACTTGGAGAAATATTACTTTAATATTACGTGCTACTTGGATGGTTATTATTTTATTATATATTATTTATTTATATTTATATCTATTATTATATTTATTGATTCATACAAATTTATGTGAATTTGTATAGAATCTTTAAAGACATGATAATGGATGTAAACTAAATAGATATAAAGCATTTACCTTATCGCCGGCAGTACTTTTCGTAAATATGAACATATTGTTCTCTTCAACAACACCCTCTGTTTCCATGAGTTTAGGACCAGTGATGTTTTCTTTTTCAAGATGTTGTTCACCTTCACTTTCCTCATAGTCTTCGCTATAATTTTCCAAAATCGAATTGAAAGCAGTAGATGCGAGAGGCTTAGTAACTGCTTTTTCTTTTATGGATTTTGAAATTATTGAGGAATGTGGATTTTCCAAAAGCGAATTGAAAGATGTAGATGCCTGGTGCTCAGTTACTGCATTATTTAAATTTGACAATAATGGTGTGTTATCTTTAATTGCACTCGAAATTGATGAGAAGCGTAAATTTTTACCTTGGCTTCGGTCAACAGAAAAAGCGAGCTAAAAAAATATGAAATTTCTACATTTTCTTTTTAGAAAAGTTTAGTTTTATTTATAGTCAGGAAGAGCAACAAAAGGAAAATGTTGATAATACTGTCGCAGAAAGAAAAAAGATTTACAAGTGAAATTTTATGTAAATTGAGTAATTGGTATCGTTGAATTAAATCCTAAAATATTAATTTTATAAAAAATTAATTGTTTAATTTATGAGGAATTTAGTTATTCCGTTTTAAGCGAGATTATACTAATTTCAAATCTGTATAATTTCGACAAAACTTGCCAGATTTTAATTTTTATCTAGTGAATTTTATACGATTTTTTGCGTACTTTCTAATACAAAAACTCCTTTTTTATGAAAAAATTTTTAACTACTCTTTCTTCAAAAATAAACTTTATTTTTCAATTTTTACAAAAACTCCCTCTTTTTTTAATTTTTTATCACTTTCATTGAAAAGATGAGATTTTTTCCAACAAATTATGTTAATTTTAAAAATGGGATTACAATCAAGAAAATAAAAAAACCAACTTTTCAAAAACTTTTTGTTTATTTAATTGAAAACCCATTGTTGTCCCATTTTTTAACTTTACATAATTGATTGGAAAAAATGTCAGCTTTCCAATAAAAAAGATAAAAAAAGAAAAAAACAGGTAGTTCTTTGTAAAAATTGAAAAATAAAGTTTATTTTAGAAAAAACAGGGGTTAAATAATATTTTAAAAAAAGAGTTTTGTAATTGAAAAGAACACAATAAATGCTTTAAAATGTACTATATGAAAGTTACAATCGCCTAATTTTTGTAGAAATTATGTTAATTCTTAATTTGATCAAAGGAAAGTTCCTTAATATCTAATTGTTTTGATTGGATCAGTTCACGTATGGAATTGCTCGTGTTTCAATTTTTTTATTGCAAATCTATTATATTTAAAATATCTTTTAAAATGATATTTTGAATGAATAATAAAATAATATACAAATTATTTTAATAATTAATTTCGTTTGCAAATTATGAAATAACACATTGCTACTACTTAAAAAGTGATTTTAAATTAATAAAATTTTTATAATTTATTAAAGTTCATACTCCTTTTCATAATTTTTGTTTTTTTAATTTTTGGATTATCTTTATTTTAATATTTCTAACTTTTAAACATTGTATTAATATTTTCATAAATTTTAAACCTACTTTTTTTAAATCCTCTAAAATCTTAGTTAACTGTTTGTTAAGTTGCAATGCCTCTTGAATTTTGTCAAAAATTACATTTGAACTTGATTCATCGAAATTTGATTGATCCTGTAAAATTAATTAGGAAAGGCAATAAATTTTAAAATATTCGTTAAAATGCAAATAAATAAATAAACTATTTTATTATATTTATAATAATAATACCTCACTTTCAGAAAAAGAGTCGCATTGAAGTTTTCGTTTCTTTGCCTGACTTCTTTTTCCAGCTTCCTTTAATTTTTGATTTTGCAGTGTTAGCAATTCTTTCTCGCTGTCTGTAAATAAATTTTTAAGCATATTACAATTTTTAAAATTAATTTTGAATTCTTAAAAATTAATAAAAAAATTTTAATATAAAAATTAATATTAAAAAAATTGTTAACCCTTTCAGGATTTTTAAAATAACTGTTGCTGTATAATGTGTTTTAAAAATGTTTAATTATTTATGTTTGCGTCATTAATCATTTTATTTATAGTAAAACTAAGGAATAAAAATTACATTTTTCATGTACAATATTCAAATAAAATCGTAAAAAAATTATGTAGTTACTTTTAAATTAAAATATCCATTTGAATTATAATTTAATGATTTTATTATTATATGGTAAAGACGAAAAGGATTCAGTAAATTTCCAATCCATTGAAATTTCCTAAAATCTTTTATCTAAAGATAGAAATTTTTCGCTATCTCATTTTTGAATTTGAAATTAGAAAATTTTAATTTCAATAAAATAATAATAATTATGATATAATGAAAATAATAATTAAAAGTTAGGTTGCTAAGAGAATAAATAATAAAAAAAATTATAGCATTCATATAAAAGCATAAACATACTTGACATGCCAATTATGGTTCCCGTGTAACGTTTTTGCACTGCAGAAAATTCTGGCCAAAGATACTTGATGGTTATCCCACGTTTCAGTTCCGGAATACTTGAATCGAAAATGACTGACATTTTATTTATAATTGTGAAACAACCATCGCCCTCAATAAGAAGTAATTCTTGATCCATTTTTCAATAAAAAAAGTTTAATTTTTAAATTGAATAAATTTCACGATTTGACTAGCAGCAAATTAGATGAAAATGACATCGCTTTTATATTTTCGTTCCTATTTTGTTTTAAAATGCAAACATAACAAATAAAAGTTAGCAGCTAATTTCATATGATAATAACGAAAAATGTGTGAAATTCAATTTCTCAGGTCATTTTATTTTTTGTTTCATTTAATTATTTATTATGAAATGGATACATATGTACAGGAGATACAAATGTATCTCCTGTTTCAACAAATAAACTAAGTATACAGATTTTGTTTAATTTTCATATTTGAACTTACATTATGTGACATTCAAAAATAAGAAAATAAGAAACGCCGAAATTTTTTTTTTAAAACACATTTTGTTTAAATTTTGTTTAAATCGTAAAATAAACTTTCAATGTTCAAAACTGAAGCATTCGTTTCTTCTGTTAAATTTAACGCTTCAACAATACTATTCTGTAAATTAGCTTCACGTTTAGTTCTTTCGTCTAACTCTTGTAGTAGCAATTTTGCCATATCAATATTATCTTGTCTTGCTCTTGAGCGATATTCTTGTCGTTTTTCTTCATACTGTTCCTTTTCTTCTTTCATTATATCTTCTATCGTGATTCCGTTCTCTTCCATTTCTATTTTCATCTTTTTCATTTCATTCTGTACTATTTTCTGCGATTCTAAAAATTTATTATTTATAAAAATCAGTGCATTATATATAATATATTGCATTATATTATATTTAAACATAGTGAGAAAAATTTTGAGAGAATAAAATATATTATTAGTATTTATTTATTATTATCTCTTTCATTACCTAACATGATTAAATATAATAAACAAACAATAATTTGAAGAAAAATAATATATATTAACCTCAAAAGAAAGTAAAATTTTTAAAGTAAAATGATTTTATCACTCGGTCGATATTAATTAAACGTTAATAATCAAATTTTATATTTTCAATTTTTAAAGTGAAGTTTAGGAAACAGCTAGGACACTTTTAAATTAATATTGAATTGTTGACAATTGAATAAGTTAAAAGTTGTTTTAATAACTGCATTTTTTTTACAAATAAGTTATTAAAAAAATGTATAATTTGTATATTTGAGAGACGACCTTTAAAAAGATATTTTGTCAATTACTTTATTATTGAATTCAATTATAAAATACTAATATAATTAAAGAACTATATTTTAGATTTTTTTCAAAAACCAAAAATTTTTGCAAATATAATGCAGTGCTAGAGACATAATTTTTAAAGCAAATGAATAGTTAAAGAAATTCAAAATTTGAAAGTATACATATATTTTTTATATATATATGTAGGTTTCAAAATATCTAAACTACTTACCCGATTCCATAATGATTTTTCCAATTTTAATTTTTGAATTTGTTTTGTCTTTAGGATACGGAAACTGAATTTTTGCCCCGATTTTTATTTCTGCTTCATCGGTCACTAGTAAACTGTTTTTTCTCACTATATAAAATTCAGCATCTTTAGTGAAACATTGTAATAAACACCAACGATTGTGTTTAGTCATTATACTTGAATAGTTAATTCAAATTTAATAAACAGATTTAGTTTATACTGGTTTATATCAATGTTTATTTTTGTTTGCTTTTGACAGGTGGTTTTTAGTTTAGGTTAGGTAGAGGTTTTTAACTTAAGGTGTTATCACATGTGTGTAGAACCTCTATAGCATTAAGAATTTAAAAGAAATTGCCTTTTTCATAGTCAATCTTTTCAAAAGAAAATATATCGTTTTCATAATAAATCTAAATTGAAAAAGGCCAAATAGTACTTTTGCAAGTGAAATTATTAAAGGGACTAGATAAAAATGAAGGTACGGTCACAGCTCAGCTATCTAAGATAAGAGTGAGAGAAATAGGAATATTTTTTATTTCTCTCACTCTTATACGTTGCTATGACGACCCTACTTAGATAGCTGAGCTGTGACCGTACCCTGAACAAATTGCTTCTCGGACAAGAAAATCCAGAATTGTGTCATTTCAGTTGGCAGCACTGAACATAACAAACAGACCTAGACACCTGTTTTGTTTCGTGGTATGGTTAGGTCAACCGGTGGGTTAGCTTCGTGATTTACACGTGTTGGAAACGGAAATGTGCAAAACACAAAGTGAATTTTAGTTGTTTAATAAAGTTTTTCGTGTGTCGTTTAAAGTTGTAAAGGACATAACATTTTTATTACGGAGATGATTTGAAGGTAAGAAAAAAACCATTTAATATATTAAATATTACAGGATAAGTCTAAAATAGATAGAGCAACGCATGGGAAAAATTTGACAACAACGCTTTTCTTCGAGCGTTGCCATTTTAGACTTATTCTCTTGCTTGCAATTGTTTATGTAAATTGCCTTTATTAAAAAACAAAAAAATTATTAAATGTATTTAAAATACATAAAATCTGCTTTCAACTTAGGCAAATTCCACCGATGTACTAATGTAACAGACGCAAGAAATTTTTTTTGAAAAATGACAATTTTTGTAGTTTACAAATATAAGAAAATATGTCGCATTCATAAATATTCGTTTGTTACCTTAGTAACCTAACAAAAACTTCGGAGGTAAAGAGCAGATTAATTTCAATGATTGTCTAAATATAAAAATTACATTTTTTATATTTTATATATTTAGTTAAACTCTTTGCTGGTAATGAGATTGACTTGTCACATGACACAAGGGGCTGCAAACAAATAAATGAGAAGAATTCACGCTGTCTCTTTTTGATGTTCTCGTTCGTGTTTGAATTTATGAAATATAACTTCTCTACTGCTGCATTCGTAAGTTCATTCTCTTTTGGAATATTTTTTATGTTTTAAAAATTAGACTTTTTAATTATTAATAATTAATATAGTATACCTCTTCATGCATAAAAATTGTAATTTTTAACATAATTTAAAATCATAAATGTGACAAATTAAATAATTGCTTCCTCATAAAGAAAATATTATATTGGAGAAATTTTGCGAGTGCGATTTTTGGCCATATCTTTTAAAATTCCTTTTTAATAAATATATTTAAAAATAATTAACATGTATTTAAAATTTGAATACATTATTGACATTTAAAAAAATCATACTTTTTTATTTAAAAATTTTCTTATTAACTTTATACTATTATGGCTAAATTGTAAATTTTTTAGAAACCCATCAGTTTATCTATTTGTGAATAATCTAGTGTCCTTTTATATACAATTACAAGCCTTTTATAAATTGAAATTTTTTTATTCATAATTAAACTCTTTATAATACCCTTAAAATATTATAGCTCTCTTATAAAAAATTTTAGAACGCATCTAATGATCTATTTCGTGAATATTTTTATATAAAATATAATCAAGTGATTGCCGTTTGAAAAATTATAAATTTCATAAAACGTCAATTTTTTGTTTTTAAATAAATATTTTAATATCTATGAGAAAGCACAGTAATCATGAAACGATAACAAATAAACATATGTGAAAATACACGTGAAGGTAGTAAAACTTGGCAGCAATTTTTTATTGTTAATTTAAATGCATTAGACTATATACATATGTGTCATAACAAGATGAAAATTCTTTGAAAAAATTAGAAGTGTTATGTAATTTTTAAATTTCGAAAGCGTAGAAATAATCCTACCTAAAATTTGTATTCTATATCTTACTTTGAAAGTCAAATTTTTAAGAGGTTTGGTGTCATTCTGCTTAAAGAATGACTTATTGTTTAAGTTAAAAAATTTGTTTAACCATTAAAAAATATTTGCAGATAAATATGGTCGTTTTAACCAATATCAAATTAAGCAAATTCTAATTGTTTAATTGGAAACAAAAAAGAAAAAGCAGAAATATGGTAACACTCTATTAATAGTAATTACTATTTTTTCTCAATATTCCCAAGTGCATTTAAATATATTCCTATTACTTTTAGATCTCAAATAACGAAAATGAAAGCACATCGTCCCTATCATCGCAATTTCAAGGTGAAAATGATGTCATGACTGAATCTTCTATAGTTGTACCATCAACTTCTACAAGTAATTCCTCACTGTTAACTTTTAATCAAAATGTAATTGATTATGATGTTCCTGAGCAACAAATTAGCCCCTTTCGTCGTTTTTCTACTTGTCAACCATATTCATCGACACCTGAATCATCTGTATTAACGTTTAATAACGAAGATAATGATATTGATAATATTAGTGACAATAACCATACTGACGATAACGGTAGTATCAATAACGATAATAGCGATATTAATGACGATAATGATAACAGCAATAACGGTAGCGACCATAATGATAATGATATTGATAATAGTAGCGAAAATAACCACACTGGCGATAACAGTAGTAGCGATAACGATAGAAGAAATAACGATAATAGCGATATTAGTGACGATTGGGATAACAACAATAACGATATCGACGATAATGTTAGTAGCGATAATGACAGATTTGCTAATAATAAAAACGATTGGCTCAATAACCCTATTTATGATAACGCAAATATTTGTGGAGGTGATGCTTTAAATCAGATTTTAAAAATATATGTTTCAAACCGATTAACGAAAACAGCTTTAGGGGATATGTTAAGTTTAATAAATAATTTATTACCTGAAGACCACTCACTTCCAAAAACAAAATATAAATTAACAAAATTAATTGATAAAGTTTTACCTCCTGTGCAGGCGAATTTTACAACTAAACACAGGATTTGTGCAGACTGCCTTAACTATGTAGGAGAATGGTCAGATTCTGTAAATGTGCAAGTTTGTTTGCGATGTAATAGTAGAAAGTTGGACAGTTTTTTTCTAGAATTTGATATTGAAACAGAATTACGTATTGCTTTTGAAGTGAGGGATCTTCATTGTTTAATTGATTCCTTTAAAACCGATTGTTTAGGAAGAAATCCAGAATTGGTGACCGATTTGATATCTGCTTCTGAATATCGTCGTTTAAAAACAATTGCCATTCCTGGAGAATATGATCTTTTCATGATTTGGTTTACTGATGGTGTACAAATGTCCAAAAGTGGACGCAGTCAGATGTGGCCTGTATACGCTCAAATTGTAAACATACCGCCACATTTTCGAAGGAGTTTCCAATTTGTGTGTGGTATTTTTTACCGTAACGAAGGCATAAAAAAACCAGACATGAACTCATATCTCCAACCTTTTTCTTTGTCTCTAAATAATTTATTTGTAAATGGATTTGAATGGTTAAATCAAAAGTTGCAGCGTAAAATCAGAAGTAAAGTACTTGCGCCTATTGCGATTTTGGATGCTCCTGCTCGAGCATCTGTGCAAAACATAAATTATTACAATGGAGAGTACAGTTGTGCAAGTTGCGAGGCAAAAGGAGAAAGTTGTCCAACTGGAGCTGGTTGGAATTGGATTTATCCAATAGTTTCAGAAGAACCTCCTTTAAGATCCTCTGAAAGAATGGAGATTCAAACCGCAATAGTTGAAAAATACGAGAACTTGAAACACTTTAGAGGCGTTAAAGGTAGATCGGTTGTCACAAATATTCCTTACTTCAATAGGTCAAAGGGATTTCCCCATGATTATATGCACTCAGTGCTTCTTGGTGAAATGTTAGCACTTTTGACTTGCTGGTGTAATTCCAATAACCATGCAGAAGATTTCTATTTGACCAAAGAGAATAGAGATGAAATTAGTGAAATTTTAGTTAAAATATCACCGCCGGACGACGTGACACGAAATCCCAGATCGCTGTTAAAGCTGAAAGATTGGAAGGCTTCCGAATTCAGAGCATTCCTTGTGTATTTCGGACCGATAGTTTTAAAAAATCGTTTTAAGAAATCGGAATATTTTGATCACTTTTTACTGCTTGTTAAAGCAATCCAACTTTTATCAAAAGAGAAAATTCTTCCGGCAGAAATCGATCTCGCGGACAGTTTATTACACATTTTCATTATTGACGTGGAACGATTGTACGGTCTTAATAAATGCACTTACAATTTACACCAATTGAAACATCTTGCACAAAATGTTCGAGAATATGGACCGCTCTGGGTTTGGTCGGCTTTCTTGTCTGAAGATCAAAATGGCGAATTGGTCAAAATGACACACGGTTCTAATAAGATAGATGTTGAATTATCAAATACAATAAAAATAATCCAAGCCCAACGTTGTATTAATTATCTTGTGCAACCTGAAAGACCATTAAATGTTTATGAATGTTGCACACATGGACCATCTATACCACATACTATTACAGATAGCGAACTTCTGGCTATTAGTCATGCGACAGGTCTTACCAACGAGCAGTTATTGGAAGCTCCTACTCCGATATTTTCTAGGTGCAAAATAAATAACGAAATTTACACTTCAAAATTATATTCTCGTCAAAAAAAACGTAAAAACTATTACGTACAATATAAAATTAATGAATCAATTTCTTTTGGTACTGTTAAATATTATATTACAGTTCAAAAAGTTTCATACGCAGTATTAAGCAAACTTATTGTTACCGACGATAGCAAACACGAAATTAAAAACAGAGAAATTGGATTCAATCTGAATGAAACTTTAAAACATGTTCGAGAGTCTTACGTTATAGAAATTGTCACTTTAGACAAAATTGTATCAAAATGTTTGAAGGTAGAAAATTATATATGTATCTTAATAAATAATATGGAAAGAAAATAATGTTTTCCTCAGAGAACAATTTTAAAGTAAAAATTAACAATCGAAATAGCGCAATTTTTAATAAACTAAATAATTGTAACGAAATCGAAAATTTTCATTGATTTTGTATGAACGAAAAATCGATAATCGGAGACCAAAAGTGAACGGATAATTAAACCTAAATCGATAACCGAAAAAGCGTGATTGTTAAGAAACCAAATAATTATAACAAAATTAAATTTTTTTAATGTTTTTGTGTAAGACTAATTAAGACTATTAATTATGATTATATTAAAAAGTTGGATTTAAAGTATATGTATGTTATTTATGTTATTATTCATGTAGTATTTATAAGAATATTCCTTTGTATAATTTGTGTAATATTTATATTAAAAATTTTACGCTTCTTAATTAGAGAGTTTTAATTTAGAAATGTTCATGTAATATCTGAGAAATCTGTGAAGTTCTTGAAAGAATTTTGTTTTCTTGAACTTTCTATGTTTATTTTAAAAAATTAAGTTGTTTTTGATTTCCAAAGTTATTCTGAAAAAAAATTGACATACAAGAATTGGTTTATCATTTTTATTATTTGAGATGAACTACCTTGAAGAAATTGACCTGGATACCCGTCGGTAATTGGTGACCTCTTGATATTTTATTTTTGACTTGTTTAAACTTTTTAATATGGTTTAGAAATTGATTTTTCAAGTTTTTTATTCAAAAATAGTAAAAAGAACAATCTCCGGAAATTCCGCGGAATGACTCCGCGGAATGACTCCGCGGAGTTTCCGTGGAATCATTCTGCGAAGTTTCCGCGGAATCTTTCCACGTGGGAAGACTTTCAAAAAGTTTAGATATTGCACTTAAGATTGTAATCGGCCTATAGTTGGACACATTAGTTTTACTGTCACTTTTGTGAATAGGTACTACAATACCGCGTTTCCAATTATAAGGAAATATGCCATCTGATAACGATTTATTAAATAATAAGAATAAAGGATTAACAAAAGATGAGCAACATGACTTCAGGATAGTTGCAGGAATGTCATCTGGTCCAGCTCCTTTAGAAGTATCTAGACCTTTCAATTTACGTAAAATATCTGTTTTATTTAAAAAAATATCATTTAGAAAAAAATTGTCCAATGAAGGAGTGCTCGAAATATTTGAATTCGGCGCTAAATTGGTATAAACTGATTTAAAATGAATCGCAAAAAGGTCAGCAATGTCTTTGTAATTATTACCATAATTAGTACCGAGATGCATCTCTTTTGGAAATTTATTATCTTTTTTCAGAGAATTAACGTAGCCCCAAAATTGTTTTGGATTAGCTTTCAAGTTTGATTCAACATGTTTAATATAACTATTATAACAATTTTTAGAAAGCTTCTTACACTGCGAACGTAAATAAGAAAAATAATTATAGTCCCTGATATTATGTGATTTTTTATATTGTAAATGAGCTGCTTTCTTTAAAAACGTAATTCTTTTCAATTCGAAATTAAACCATGTTGGGTAGGTTGATTGTCTAATTACTCTAATAGGTACAAAAAAATCAAAACTAGTATAAACATGAGTATAAAAAATATCAACCGCTTCATCAACATTACAATTTTTAAAACAAATCTCCCATTTCACAGCATCTAAAAATCCACAAATTCCCGCAATATTTGCATTCCTAAAATCGTACACGTATTGCACATCAGAAATAGAATTAGAATTACATAGAGAAATGTGCGTATCAATTTCCAATAACAAAGGAGGGTGATATTTATCAATCGGGAGAAACGCTTCATCAGCCAAGTTCAACGTAAAATTAAATGTATTAATGAAAACAAGATCTAAAAGAGAACCAGTAACATTTAAAAAATTATTAACTTGATGTAGATTAAGAAAGTTCATAGTGTCAGATACTATGTTCGTTATTGAATTGTGTAAACGTAGATTCTTGGAGATTTCAAGATTCACACTACATGATAAACTACTATTATAATGTATGTATAATATATATAAAATGAAAAAATAATTAAAGTTTATAAAAACGGTAAATGTAAAAATAAATAAATTGATAAAATATGTAAAAATAATCAGTATAAAATAATAATTGAATTGTATAAAATATATAAAGTAAAAAAATAATTAAATTAAGGTGTATAAAAACGGTAAATGTAAAAATAAATAAATTAAAAAAATATTCAGAATATATAATAATAATAATTAAATTGTATAAAATATATAAAATGAAAAAATAATTAAAGTTTATAAAAACGGTAAATGTAAAAATAAATAAATTGATAAAATATGTAAAAATAATCAGAGTATAAAATAATAATTGAATTGTATAAAATATATAAAGTAAAAAAATAATTAAATTAAGGTGTATAAAAACGGTAAGTGTAAAAAAAATAAATTGAAAAATATGTAAAAATAATAAGAGTATAAAATAATAATAATTAAATTGTATAAAATTTATAAAGTAAAAAAATAATTAAAGTGTATAAAAACGGTAAATGTAAAAATAAATAAATTGAAAAAATATTCAGAATATAAAATAATAATTAAATTGTATAAAATATATAAAGTGAAAAAATAATTAAAGTGTATAAAAACGGTAAATGTAAAAATAAATTAATTGAAAAAATATATAAAATGAAAAAATAATTAAAGTGTATAAAAACGATAAATGTAAAAATAAATAAATTGAAAAAATATTCATAATATATAATAATAATAATTAAATTGTATAAAATATGTAAAGTGAAAAAATAATTAAATTAAGGTGTATAAAAACGGTAAGTGTAAAAAAAAATAAATTGGAAAAATATGTAAAAATAATCAGAGTATAAAATAATAATTAAATTGTATAAAATTTATAAAGTGAAAAAAAATAATTAAGGTGTATAAAAACGGTAAATGTAAAAATAAATAAATTGATAAAATATGTAAAAATAATCAGAGTATAAAATAATAATTGAATTGTATAAAATATATAAAGTAAAAAAATAATTAAATTAAGGTGTATAAAAACGGTAAATGTAAAAATAAATAAATTGAAAAAATATTCATAATATATAATAATAATAATTAAATTGTATAATATATATAAAATGAAAAAATAATTAAAGTTTATAAAAACGGTAAATGTAAAAATAAATAAATTGAAAAAATATTCATAATATATAATAATAATAATTAAATTGTATAAAATATATAAAGTGAAAAAATAATTAAATTAAGGTGTATAAAAACGGTAAGTGTAAAAATAAATAAATTGAAAAAATATGTAAAAATAATCAGAGTATAAAATAATAATTAAATTGTATAAAATTTATAAAGTGAAAAAAAATAATTAAGGTGTATAAAAACGGTAAATGTAAAAATAAATAAATTGATAAAATATTCAGAATATATAATAATAATAATTAAATTGTATAAAATATATAAAGTGAAAAAATAATTAAATTAAGGTGTATAAAAACGGTAAATGTAAAAATAAATAAATTGATAAAATATGTAAAAATAATCAGAGTATAAAATAATAATTAAATTGTATAAAATTTATAAAGTGAAAAAAAATAATTAAGGTGTATAAAAACGGTAAATGTAAAAATAAATAAATTGATAAAATATTCAGAATATATAATAATAATAATTAAATTGTATAAAATATATAAAGTAAAAAAATAATTAAATTAAGGTGTATAAAAACGGTAAATGTAAAAATAAATAAATTAAGGGGTTATGCCACTCTAGAGACCGAAAAAATAGGTGTTTTATGTGAATTTTTTTTAGAAAAACCATAAAGTCAATTAAAAATATAATATAAAAAGTTTATTATACATCTTTTTAGGTGTAAAAAAATAATTTCTTATAAATATTTCTTGAAGAATGGTGGCGCTGTAGCGGTCGTCCTTCGACTCCTCTATGGTTCAAGGGGTACGTGGCCGAACTAACTGCTACTGTAAATTTTGGAATATCTTGAGTATCTAAATTTTTTTTTATTATATATTACAATAGCTAAAGTAACACGTAGGATTTTTTCGATATATTGATTCATGATCAAATGGCGCACTTCTAAAGTTAAACTTTCTAATTTCGACTAAAAAACCATCAGTTAATAGTTAATAACAAATGAACTATATAGAATAAAAAAAAAATCCTACGTGATACCTTAAAAAATGTATTTTTAAAGATGTGTGTCAAATTTGAACCTAATCGGTTGGAAATTGTACGAGTTGTTGGTTCGGCCAACTCGAAAAATGTAGTTTGGAGATAAACGCGTTTAAAGTTTTAAGTTGTAAAAAACTTAAATAATTTCACAATACCTTTAATCTGCAATGCCTGCAATTGTGTAGAATAGACTATAGTCTAGCAAGTAACTAGCGCCTTTGAAAACATCTGCCGTATACCTGCTGTAGATCCTTCAAAAATCACCCCCCGTAGAACTGACAAAAGGAGCTCGCCGCGTACCGTGCAGCCTTGCAAGGAACTTCGAAAATAAATTATTTAGAGATTTTTCCGAGCCATAATCCTGCAATATGTTATTTCTGAGACCCTAAGGAACTATTTAAAGCAAAAAAAAAAAAGCGATTTTTTGACAATCCTAGAGTGGCATAACCCCTTAAAAAAATATTCAGAATATATAATAATAATAATTAAATTGTATAAAATATATAAAGTGAAAAAATAATTAAATTAAGGTGTATAAAAACGGTAAATGTAAAAATAAATAAATTGATAAAATATGTAAAAATAATCAGAGTATAAAATAATAATTAAATTGTATGAAATATATAAAGTGATAAAAATAATTAAATTAAGGTGTATAAAAACGGTAAGTGTAAAAAAAAATAAATTGAAAAAATATGTAAAAATAATCAGAGTATAAAATAATAATTAAATTGTATAAAATTTATAAAGTGAAAAAATAATTAAAGTGTATAAAAACGGTAAATGTAAAAATAAATAAATTGATAAAATATTCAGATTATTTTTTCCAGACTATTTTTTTGAAACTCAAGATTCTCTCGCATTGATTTTCAAAATTAGAAGAATTAATTTTTATTTACCTCAATGTTTGTTTTGTTCATCACCGGCTGGATCGCCCTTGGGGTATAAACTTGAGGTTGCTGATATGTACCTCTATACGGTAATCGCTGATTATATCCAGGAAACATCTGTAAATATATCATTAAAATTATTAGTTTTTAGTCGTTAAAAATATGTAAAAAAAAAAGTAAAACAAAGTATAATTTAAATTATTTTAAACTAACAAATTGGTTAACACCCATATGCCGACAGAAGCAGCAAAAACCGCAATACCCATTCTAAAACAGAAGATACAGTTAAAATATTACTTGTGTAATAATTTAAATATTTAATGTTTTGTAAAATAAAATATTTATTTTTACAAAATAAAATTAAAAAAAAAAAAATATATATAGGTATATTTTGTGAAATAAAATATTAAAACTTTTAAATATATGTGTTTAATTTCCATTTTTTCATTTGTACAGTAGATCCGATTAAATGAAAGGTTTCACTTCAACTAATGCTTTCTTTCTAATGAAGCGGGTTCGTTTCATATTAGCATTGCTGACAACTGTGTAACAAGAAATCAAAACTTCCACAATCGGTAATTTGAGCGGAAAATTTGAAATACCTAAATTACTTTAAATTGTTTAAAAAAATTGTAAATTTAGCGCGAAAAAAAATTGCACCATCTTGCGGTGGCAGCTGCAACTAACTTGGTCGGTAATTTGAGCGGGAATTTAAAAAACCCCCACTTGAAATTGTTTGAAAAAAGAATTTCCATATTGCAGGCAATTTTGAATTCGGCGTGAAAATAAAATAGCGCCATCTTGCGGTGGCAGCTGCAACTAACTTGGTCGGTAATTTTAACGGGAAATTTAAAAACCCCCACTTTAAATTAATAGAAAAAATAATTTTAAATTTAGCGTAAAATTAAATAGCGCCACCTTGCGGTGGCAGCTGGAACTAAACTCGGTCGGTAATTTGAGTGGGAATTTAAAAAACCCCCACTTGAAATTGTTTGAAAAAAGAATTTCCATATTGCAGGCAATTTTAAATTTAGCGTAAAAATAAAATTGCACCATCTTGCAATGGCAGCTGCAACTAACTTGGTCGGTAATTTGAGCGGGAACTTAAAAACCCCCACTTTAAATTAATAGAAAAAATAATTTTAAATTTAGCGTAAAAATAAAATAGCGCCACCTTGCGGTGCCAGCTGGAACTAAACTCGGTCGGTAATGTAGAACACCAAGCCACTTGAACACAAAAGTTTAAAAATTTAAATTTCCCGCCAAGGGTGGTTAAATTGGTTGGTAATCGAAAGTGGCGCCATCTAGTGGTGGCAGCCGGAACTAAACTCGGTCGGTAAAGTAGAACACCAAGCCACTTTAAAAATTCAAATTTCCCGCCAAGGGGGTTTGAATTGGTGGCGAAAGATCGAAAGTGGCGCCATCTAACGGTGGCAGCCGGAACTAATTCGGTCGGTAAAGTAGAACACCAAGCCACTTTAAATTAAACTTTTAAAAATTCAAATTTCCCGCCAAGGGGGGTTGAATTGGCCGGTAAAATGCCAAGCCACTTTTAAAAATTCAAATTTCCCGCCAAGGGGGGTTGAATTGGCCGGTGGCGCCATCTAGCGGTGGCAGCCGGAACTAACTCGATCGGTAAAGTAGATTTCTACATTACCTACTCGGTCGGTAAGTGAGCCAGAACCCCCCTTGTTACACTACTCCACTACAATCAAGATGTTACTTCATACAATCTGGATTGTAAGTGATAGAGTCTAGATTGCTGTCCGTATATGTAAGATCAAATGTGGTACCTGGTTCTATCTAGATAGTACCCCGAACCACCTATTTCTCTCCGTGCATTAATTTTCTATGGCATCTACGAATGTGAAGTAATTTTTTTCCACAAATCTTATAGGGGTTTTTAAACTACTTTACATAATATGTAATTTTCTATAAAAATTTATATTATATTATATATTTTATTATATTTTAATAATTACACTGCGACAAAATTTTAAAAAAGTTTTGTTTAAGTGACTTTCTTGATTGTTTTCCTTAAAACTACATAAAATATGAAAAAAAATCCCTATTATACCTTCAAAGTACTAAGCGTTTTTGTTTAATGTAAAGTTTTGTGATTTTTGCAGTTTTCGGCCCTGGCGGATTGGGTAAACCGATATGTAACCGAATTGGGTTACGATTCGGTTACGATTCGGTTACGTTTCGGTTACTTGTGAAAAATTGTCGTTAATCGACGAAATATGTTGTAAATAACTATTATGAATGGTTAATAGACATTTAGAGGTCTTATTTATACAATAATAACAATAAATTAAGATATAATTACTCAATAATAAGTGTTTTAAGTGTACAATGCATACAGTTGTTGAGTTACCATATATGTATATTACCATCAGCGGGAGCTGTGATACGCGCTTTAAACAGTAGATGGCGTTGAAAATTACTTTGTGAATGAATTTCTAAAATTAAACTTTAGAGTGTCAAATGTGTAAGTGAATATAAGTTTTAAAAAAATAGATCGATTAATTAAAACAACTTTTTTAATTTCTACAAATATAAAAAAAAAATTTTTCTCAATAAAAATTTTTTTTTCTCAATGACATGAGAAAAATTAATTGTGACACAAAGAAATCTATTTTTCCCTAAAAAAATTTTTTTCTTAATAATAATTTTTTTTCACAATGAAATGAAAAGATTAATTTTTACACAAACAAATTTTTTTCTTAATAAAAAATTTTATTTTCTCAATGAAATGAGAAAAAGTAATTGACACAAAAGAAACTTTTTTCCTCAATAAAATAAGAAATATTAATTTTGAAAAAAAAATTTTTTTCTGAATAAAAAAATTTCTTTTCTCAATGAAAGGAGAAAGATTAATTTTGACAGAAAAATAAATTTTGTTTTAATAAATTGTTTTAATAAATCGATCTATTTTTTTAAAACTTATATTCACTTACACATTTGACACTCAAGGGCTTAATTTTAGAAATTCATTCACAAAGTCATCCTTAACGCCATCTAGGGTTTAACAAGCGCGTATCACAGCTGCCGCTGATGGTAATATACATATATATTTGGTAATTCAACAACTGTATGCACTGTACACTTAAAACACTTGTTATTAATTAATTATATCTTAATTTATTCTTATTATTGCATAAATAAGCACTCTAAATGTCTATTAACCATTTCTAATAGTTATTTACTAATTAATTAATCGGTTTCAGCTTTTAGTTTACGAATAATAAAATTAATTAATTGAAACATCATTTTTGATTTGAATTTACACAAATAAAAGAAAAATTCACTTACAAAAGACACTTTAGCTTAAGGCCAGGTCCAAGTGGTGTCAGCTGTTCCATTGAAACTTCAAAGGAACAGCTGACTCGACTTGGACCTGGCCTTAAAAGTGCATATTTTTTAAGATTTTTTTCGTTTTTTCAGATGTATCCACACGCATTAAGTTCCATATATAGTCTCCCATCATGGAAGTGTCCCATGATCCCTACCCGTGCAGAAATTTCCTTACTTAGTTCTACTTTAAGTAAGGCTCTCTCATGGCCCTTGCCAGTTTTTCCACAAGTCTAGAATTTCCCAGATTAAACGATAGTTACTTGGTTATGCCATGTTTGCAATATAGCCTAGAAAACTACATATCAAGGCAGTAGAAAGGCCCTTGCCAGTTTGTCCACAAGTATGGCATTCCTTAGAGCAACTCAGTCTTGCCATGGTTTTATGACATAACCTCAAAATAAAAAGTAATTTTAACACCAAATAAAACTATAATAAAATTAAACTGCCATGCAAAATATTTTATCGAGTAATAATTATTTAATAATAATATTTATGAATTTTAAATTATTTAAATAACAATTAATCGAGGGGGAATTTACTCTGGTAGTCAAGTGTACACTTGCCTGGTAATAGGTACTTGGTAATACCTGTAATATCTGTAATATTTTGAAATGTCTTGTAATAATAAGTATTATTGTGTAATATCATGTAATTCTGTGTAATACTTGTAATATTGTGGTATTATGGTGTAATACCTTAAAAAATTTAAAGAAAATCAAAGCAAAAAATGTTAATAGCAGTAAAACATTTGAAATAATAGTTGTTTACGTTTTAAAAAAGAGAAATTTATTATTTTCTTTTATAAGTAGGGTAAATGCACTAATTGCGGAGCGATTCGAGTCAAAACACCTTTGAAATAGAAAATTCGACATTTCTATTGTATAAACTCAATTTAAGACTTATTAAACTCATAGGTTATGTTATTTAGATGTTAAAAAAATGTTTAACTTTATAAAAATCGATTATTTAAACAAATATAAGAAATTAAAAATAATACCGTAATTTTCTATTGCGGCGCGTTTATATATCGATTTCGGAGACCCAAATTACGTGTATTTTGAAAATACTTTACCCGCCGAAATCAGAGCCATTGGAAACATTAAACAAGGAGGGGGTCTTCTATGTTTATTTCATAAACATTTTGCTTCCTCATTGTGTGAAGCAAAAAATTTGCTTCCTCGTGGAGGAAGCTATATAAATTTCTCCGATCCAATTGATTGTTTTAAAAAATTTCGAGTTGAAAACTTTTTCAAATTAATTAAATTTTTTGAAAAATTAAGAAAATTTTAATTCATTTTGGATGTAACATATACTTTATATATACGAATCGATTCGTTTCAATGCAAGGAATACAATTATTTTATGTATTAACTTGAATTTAAAAAAACACAAAATTTTTTAGTTAAAATATAAATTTTTGATTTTTATTAATTCTTAAGATTTAAATCAAATCTATACTTTATATACATATATCAACCAATTCGTTTCAATGCAGAGAATAAAATTATTTTATATACATATAAACATGAATTTAAGAAAACATATCATTTTTTAGCTAAAATGTGAATTTTTGATTTTTTAACTTACATTAATTCTATTAATTTCAATCAAATCGAAAATTTATATATACCAATCGATTCGCCTTGACGTAAGGAAGACGATTATATTATATATTACTTTAAATTTTTCTAATTAAAATTTTTTTTAAATTAAAAAAAAATGTTTGAAAAAGACTATTTTTAGGGGTATTTTTAAAAATC